TAGTTTGAGCATTCTTTGGCATTGCCTTTCTTTGGGATTGGAATGAAAACTGACCTTTTCCAGTCCTGTGGCCACTGCTGAGTTTTCCAAATTTGCTGGCATATTGAGTGAAGCACTTTCACAGCATTCATCTTTCAGGATTTGAAATAGCTCAACTGGAATTCCATCATCTCCACTAGCTTTGTTCATAGTGATGCTTCCTAAGGCCCACTTGACTTCATATTCCAGGATGTCTGGCTCTAGGTGAGTGATCACACCATTGTGATTATCTGGGTCATGAAGATCTTTTTTGTACAGTTCTTCTGTGTATTCTTGCCACTCCTTCTTAACATCTTCTGCTTCTGTTAGGTCCATACCATTCCTGTCCTTTATTGAGCCCATCTTTGCATGAAATGTTCCCTTGGTATCTCTGATTTTCTTGAAGAGATCTCTAGTCTTTCCCATTCTATTATTTCCTTTATTTCTTTGTTTATCTCTCATAAAATGAAAGCAAATAGATCCACTCTAAGATTTATCTTGGTCAAAGTGTGACCAAGCAAAAATCTTGAAAGTAGTAAGAAAAATGCTGTTCTACATATATGAGGAGACCACAATATAATCACTGACTTCCAATGAGAAACAGCAGAGGGAAGCTGTGGGATGACATATTCAAAGAAATGAAAGGAAAACAATGTCTACCAAGGATTCCATCTCTAGAAATAAAAATATTTCCGGATAAACAAAGACCAGGAAAATTTACTAATAGCTGTCCCACATATGACAATTACTGAAGGATAATGTGTAAACTGAAAAAAATAAAAAGCTTGAATCTAAGATTTGAAAATGCTGGACTGGTTTGTTACAGGGTTTTTGTGTATGTGTACAGAATGTCTCAAACTTTTTATTGATTTCAGAAACAAAAGGATGCTGCTGGAAACTTAACAAAAAAGTTACTTTGAAGGTTTTACTCTTTTAATTTGTTTTGTACTTTATATCACTATAAATTTTGAATAATTATTGATTTAATTTTTAAGGCCCTATAAATGAATGTAGTGAACATTAGCTGAAATTTTTTAATTTAAAAAAATGCTCTAAAAATTCTCATGGCTAAAGATGTATGAAAGAAATATAAATTCTATGTCTGGGTTGATGCATGTCACAAATATACTATATGGAAATTTTGGGGCTGCAGACAAGAACATCCTGAGAGTAAAAATTATTAGGATTAACCAAAATTATAGGGACAACTCCAGATTCTTCAAAGCTATTGATGAGGTTCAAGTGGAGATTTCAGAGGAACCAAGTATTGTCTGAGTTCCAGGTGGGATTAATTGAAACTTGAATAATATCTATCTCTAACATGATGAGAAAGTAGGATCAGAAGGCTCAGCAAAGGGAGATGAATAGAGCTGTGGGACTGGATGTTTTGGGAGGGACCACAGTCCAGCCTCCTCCCCTATTACTCCCTCCCCACCCTCAGGAACCCTTCTTGACCATACCACAGCTCTGTGATGGGGGTCTAGGACTTTAGCCCCCAGTGCACACCTTTTGCTCAGTTTCCTGAAGGCAGCAGTGTAAGTCGGATGATGGAGAATCCTCTCTGTTCTCTGAAAAGTACTTTTGATACTTGGCTGAAGTTTGATACTTGGCCCCAGTTCCACTTTGGAGGTGATTAATGATTGATCAGGAAGGTAAGGGACCCTTGGCCCAGACTCACAAGTACATGATTCTCTCTTCTTTACTATTATTATTTCCAAACTTCTGAATCAACTAGAAAGACTCCTGGGATGATAAAGAACAGGACATCTATTCTCAAGCAAGAATAGAGCATCATCCCTTTAGGTACAAACCAGGATGGGAGGGCATAACGTAAACACTAGGATTTCAATCCAAAGATCTCAAGTTAGTTTCCAGGTGTGGTGGAGGGCTCCCAGGCAAGTCCCCAAATACAGGGTCTGAGGACTAGATACTGAGTTCAGCCTTACCATAGGACAGACTCTGATACCAGTTCTCCAGATGTGAACAGGTGTCTCTGACCAGGACTAATCTGAGGTCACTGCTGAGGCCACGAGACCCTCAGAGCAGGGATTGGAGGGGGCCCGGCTCTCAGGAAGCAGAGACCTAACTGACAGAGCTCACATTCACTCTTAGGTCTGAGAATGTGTGCATTTCTTAAGCTGAGGAACAGTGACGAAAGAAGTCCAGCATGAATCTCATGTTGAAAATCCTTCTTTATGTTCTTCACATAAGGAAAACAGAAAATATTTGTAATCTGCTTTAAAAATGAGTGAAAGGAAAGAAAATCAATGGAGCTCTGTTAAACATAGAAAATCATATTATGAATGGGCACTGAGTGTCTGATGCTTGTCTAGAGAGGGGAGAGAGAAAATGATCCCCTGTTCTTTTTTTTCTCTCAGCATCAAATGGATCCAAGGGAGAGAAGCAGGAGCAGGAAGAGAAATGAAGCTTTGAAAGGCGAGTTCTGACCTTCAGCCCTGTGTGCCCTAAGCATTTTTCTCCACCTCTCTGGCCCTGGAAAAGGTCAGTTTTCATTCCAACCCCAAGAAAGGCATTGCCAAAGAATATTCAAACTACCGCACAATTGCATCCCTCTCACACGCTAGCAAAGTGAAAGTCGATCAGTTGTGTTCAACTCTTTGTGACCCCATGAACAACACAGTCCATGGAATTCTTCAGGCCAGAATACAGGAGTGGGTAGCCTCTCCCTTATCCAGGGGATCTTCCCAACCCAGGGATCAAACCCAGGTCTCCTGCATTGCAGGCAAATTCTTTACTGACTGAGCCAGCAAGTAATGCTCAAAATTCTCCAAGCCAGGCTTCAACAGTACATGAACTGTGATGTTCAAACTGGATTTAGAAAAGGCAGAAGAACCAGAGATCAAATTGCCCACATCATTGGAGCATCGAAAAAGCAAGAGAGTTCCAGAAAAACATCTACTTTTGCATTATTGCCTATGCCAAAGCCATTGACTGTGGGCAATCACAACAAACTGTGGAAAATTCTGAAAGAGATGGGAATGACCTGCCTCCTGCCTCCTGAGAAATCTATATGCAGATCAAAAAGCAACAGTTAGAACTGGACATGGAATAACAGGCTGGTTCCAAATAGGGAAAGGGGTACATCAAGGCTGTATATTGTCACCCTGCTTATTTGACTTAAATGCAGAGTACATCATGAGAAATGCTGGACTGGATGATGCACAAGCTGGAATCAAGATTGCCGGGAGAAATATCAATAACCTCAGATATGCAGATGACACCACCCTTATGGCAGAAAGTGAAGAAGAACTAAAGAGCCTCTTGATGAAAGTGAAAGAGGAGAGTGAAAAAGTTGGATTAAAGCTCAACATTCAGATAACTAAGATCATGGCATACAGTCCCATCACTTTATGGCAAATAGATGGAGAAACAGTGGAAACAGTGAGAGACTTTATTTTTGGGGGCTCCAAAATCACTGCAGATTGTGACTGCTGCCATGAAATTAAAAGATGCTTGCTCCTTGGAAGAAAAGCTATGACCAAAATAGATAGCATATTAAGAAGCAGAGACATTACTTTTCCAACAAAGCTCTGTCTGGTAAAAGCTATGGTTTTTCCATGAGTCATGTATGGATGTGAGAGTTGGACTATAAAAAAAGCTGAGCACCGAAGAATTGATGCTTTTGAATTGTGGTGTTGGAGAAGACTCTTGAGAGTCTCTGGGACTGCAAGGAGATCCAACCAGTCCATCTTAATGGAAACCAGTCCTGACTATTCATTGGAAGGAATGATGCTGAAGCTGAAACTCCAATACTTTGGCCACCTGATTTGAAGAACTGATTCCTTTGAAAAGACTCTGATGCTGGAGAAGATTGAAGGTGGGATGAGAAGGGGACAATAGAGGATGAGATGGTTGGATAACATCACCGACACAATGGACATGAGTTTGAGCAAGTTCCGGGAGTTGGTGATGGACAGGGAGGCCTGGCGTGCTGCAGTCCATGGGCTTACAAAAAGTCAGACACGACTGAGTGACTGAACTGAACTGACTGTGGCCATGAGGGCCCAGGTCCATGCACTCTGAGAACACAGGTAGCAGGGCCTGTCACTCAGAAAACACAACCCTCAGGGAGGCTTCTGGGTAGGAAAGCAGAACCCAGATACTTCCCAGATTCCATGTGCAGGATGCAGCTGTGAAGGACCTGGAAAAGGGTGTGGCCCCGTAGGTGCATGTGGAACGCATTGCACCAGTAACCCCTGGTTTGGGAGGTGAGATCGCTGGGTTCGACCATGGACAAGTTGTTGAACTTTGCTCAGATTGGTCTGTGCAGTGACCCTGGCCCATTTCCTGCACAGCAGGGGTTGTGAGATCAGTAAGGGGTGAAGGATGTGGAAGCACTTGGTAAATGATACATCCTTTCATGAATTTTCATCAATACTATCAGGGATCATGTAGCCTTAGATGCTGGTGCTTGTACCCCCCGCTTAAAGGGACAGTGCACTCAGTCTCCTATAAGACCCCTAGGCTGCTGCCTTCACCACCATGACCCAGTCTGCCAATTTCCAGCTTGCCAAAATGGCCTGGAAGAACTGGAACAAGGCTGGGCCTGATTTCACTTCTGCAAATGTAAAGAATCTTCTCCTTCTTTCCTGGGTTCTTCTTCCCCAGAGTTTCTGCTATGAGCCCAGGGCTGCAGGGAGCCTGGGGCTGAGCTGGGAGGGGGAGTTTTGGGGGTGGGGCATGGTAAAAGCTCCGGTGTGACGGACAGCAGTAATATTGTGAAGTCAGCTTGGGGGCCGTGGAGGGCCATGGGCTGCAGGTGCCCACCCCTGCCTGGCCTGCCCAGCTCACCTGGCCTGGGCAGCTCCTGGCTGCAACTTGTTCCTCATGTCTCCTGCAGCCACCTGGGGAAGATTGCTGACAAGTATATAGCTTTCATCAGGTGAAGACACCTGGTTAGATGTGCAAAGCAGTATCTGCGGGAGCCCATCAACAATGCAGGGAAGAGGCCTGCCCATCATGTCCCCAGCTCCTCTGGCCAAGTGGCCACTCCCTTGGGCTTCTATCATTTCTCCAGGTTCAGTGATTCCATTCCTCCATTCATTCCTTAGCGCCTCTCCAACACTAGAGAGTTTCTTTCTCCTGGACAGCCTTTCACCAGGGTCACTTGCTCTTTCTCCTCCCCGCTCCCCATGTAGGGCCCTGCCCTCCACCTCTGACAGCCCTCTCTGCCTCACCGCCATCAGCTGCCCTGCTGAATCTCACTCAGGGTGACCCAGTGGCCCTGCCACTGAGCCTCATCCCACACAGGTCATCACTCGCCTCTTGGAGACCAGTCATCTCAGCACATGTCCATTCAAGTTGTCCGTTTTCAACCCCCTCTTGCTGGCAGCCCCCAGTGCCTGGAGCTTCTCTACCTTGACATAATTTGAGTTCAGGCAAGAACACTTTCCCCTCCACCCATCAGAGGCTTCATTTCAGGAAGACCCCATAAACAGGCAGGCAGATACCATGTCAACTTGGATGTCCAGAAACTGCTGGAGATACTAATCACAAGAGAGTAAAACTGAAGATTTGGAAAGAGAATGAAAAAGAGGAGGAGTCAGGCTACCACCTGAATTCTTTGAAAAAGAAGATTCAGCCACCGGATGACATGAAGGACACCTTGAGTTGCCAAAACTTCTGGAGCTAAAAGGCAAACCGGACAGCTACTTGGTCCTAAGAAGCCCCCATATTCTGATATTTTGGGGAACCATCTACAGAAGACAGGCAGCCAGCTCTTCTGGGGTCTCCCTTTTCTGTACAGTGAGTCTCTGGTGATTACTGTCACAGTACCTGGGTCCCCTCTAGAGTTATACCCTATCTTATTCAGTGAATGCTCTAAGGCCTGAGCCATTTCAAATTCAAGCTAAATTTACCTTCACAACATGTCAGTGGTCAAGCCTTTCATCACCCTATGGCCCAGGCTCAAACTCAGTCGCTGACTCCAATCATACCCCATTGCAACCATCACCTCTAGGTCATTTGGATACCCAGGGCTGACCCCTACCCTTGACTCCAACCATGCCCCAATGTCAGCCATCATCTGAGGCTTCCATGGAGACCCAGGCCCACCCACACCTCATGGCTCCAACCATGCTTCCGTGTCAACAACCACCAACTTAGGCTCAGGTGGAGACTCAGGTCTGACCTGTACCCTTGACTCCCAACCATGCCCTGATGTCAACCACGACTTCAAGCTCAGTTAGAGACCACTGCCCATCTCTCACCTGTCTCCCAGTCCAACCATCTTCTTCTCAAAACCAGATTAGGTCCTGTGAAATATCTTGCAGTCCAAACAAAATAAGGCACAATCTTTCATCTCAAATGCAATTGAAAACCTGGAGTGTCACTTTTTTATAAAAGCAACTAGAGAGTGGAAGAAATTTACCTTATTTGGTCAAAAGATTTCAGCGGGTGTTTAGCCAGGTCACTCTCAACCTTCCCCAGGAGAACAGGTCTTCCCAGGCCCACAGTTCTGTCTCCATCCTTCCTGAGGATTTGATTAGCCCTAATTTTTTGGAGAAACTGGAGCACCATCTTTCCAAAACGTTCATACAGGAACAGAGATGTGTGCCCTGGAGAATCCAAGCATCTCAGAAACTGATACAGTCTGAGGATCAATTCCCAAGACCTTGTTAGGCACAGGGCAGGAAGCAGCCCTCATGGCCCCCTGTGGGTCTAGGAAAAAGCAGCGAGGGCACACAAAAGACAAGGTTTAAGTGCCCAGCACAGATCCCACCAGGGATAGACTGCGCCACGATGATGGGCAGAGCGTGGGGAGGAGCCTAAGAGATCTGTGTATGATCTCAGTCAACCCCCCAGTGAAGGATCCAAGAGTGAAACCCGAGTCAGGGAGAGAGTTGAGCCCAGGCAGGAGGCATCCAGAAATCTCAGGAGTCCTTATAGAGAGGAAAGCAGAGCAAATCTGTTGAGAGTGAGATCCCTGTGAGTGTCTATTATTTGAGGCTTGCTGCCAACCTTGTTTTAGACATTCTTGGAGAGACACATGCTCCCATGGAGACAGAAAATCCCAGACTCCTCTCAGGATGGGGAACCCTCCATGAACACCTCCCATGAGTTATTGTTCTCAGTCCTTATGTTCAACAGGAGCTGGAAGCACATAAAATAAGGCTTCAGGTGAGGCACAGGTGGGACCTATCCTTCAAGGTCCTCAAGTTCATACTTAGCTTGAACTTGAAAAAGGCTCAAGAGTCCACGTTGAAGGCCACCTATGAATCTGGGACCACTCAAAAGCCCAGTTAACTGAGGGCTTGAGGAAACCTCCTCTGCCCCATTCAGGAGAGAAAGTGATAACAATTTCCCCCACTTCAATCCTGAGATTCCCCTCTGAGCTCACACACAGGTGAGTGAGGAAATCCAAGGATCTCCAGGAGGACCCACGCTTGGTGACATCCACAAGCACTCAGAGGTCCCTCTGACTGGACAGGAAGACAAGCCACATTCGTGGGCCTCCACATAAAACTTTGTGGGGCAGAATCTGGCCTGTGAATCTGTTGTGGGGACTGACAAAGACAGTTCAAATCCAGCAAGGGTCAGGAATAAG